ATGGGGATGGGGATGGGGATGGGGATGGGGATGGGGATGGGGATGGGGATGGGGATGGGGATGGGTGCCCACAGCCCAGGTAGTGGCATGGACAGGCAGACCCCACACCGTGCCCACCCCATCCTCGAGTGATGCCCGGCGCTGGCACAGCTCTGGGCCTCGTGCTCCTTCCTCCCTCCCCTCCCCCCAGAAGCTGCAGTTCTACGAGAGCCGCCTGCAGCTGCCCGCCCCGCGCTGGAGCGAGCTGGCTGCGCTGATCGCGCACTGCATGCACTACGAGCCCAGCAGGCGGCCCTGCTTCCGCGCCATCATCCGCGACATCAACAGCCTCATTTCCTCCGGTGGGCGCTGCGGGTGTTGGGGATGGGCGCGGGGATGGGCACCGGACCCCCACCTCACCGCCTGTCCCCCACCCCCAGACTATGAGCTGCTCTCAGAGCTGTCACCCACCGACGTGACGCTGCGGGAGAGCTTCTGGGGCTACGAACACGTGGCAGCGGGGCAGAGCCCTGCGCTGTTCGAGGAGCGGCACCTCAAGTACATCTCACTGCTGGGCAAGGTGAGGCTCTCTTAGCGATGCCCTTTTTGTGGGGTACCCACGGCCTCCTCCACACCTCGCTGTCTCAGGGGTGGCAAAGTGCTGGGGGGGGTCCTGGGAGCTGAACGCCCACCCGGCTCTGCCTCCCCAGGGCAACTTTGGGAGCGTGGAGCTGTGCCGCTACGATCCGCTGGGTGACAGCACGGGGGAGCTGGTGGCGGTGAAGAAGCTGCAGCAGGACTCGGCCAAGGAGCTGCAGGACTTCGAGAGGGAGATCCAAATCCTGCACTCGCTGCAGCACGACTTCATCGTCAAGTACCGGGGCGTTTGCTACAGCCGTGGTGAGTGCGAGGCGGCGCCGGGGCCCCGCCCCCCCCCACCAGCCCATGGGGTGCAGGCAAGGAGGGGTCTGCATGCATCCTGCTGCATCAACCTGCAAATTGCCTGCTCTGCCCGTGACACGGGTGTGCTGCAGGGCGCCGGGGGCTGCGGTTGGTGATGGAGTACCTGCCTGACGGCTGCCTGCGGGATTACCTGCAGAAGAACCAGCACCGCCTGGAGCACCGCACGCTGCTGCTCTACGCCTGGCAGATCTGCAAGGTGGGACCGAGGGGATCCCATTCTCCCATGGAGGGGTTGAGGTGGGGATGCAGTGATGGCACCGTGCCTGTTCCAGGGCATGGAGTACCTGGGGGCCCAGCGCTGCGTGCACCGCGACCTGGCCAGCAGGAACATCCTGGTGGAGAGTGAGAGCCATGTGAAGATCGGTGACTTCGGGCTGGCCAAGCTGCTGCCACAGGACAAGGACTATTATGTGGTGCAGGAGCCTGGGCAGAGCCCCGTGTTCTGGTGAGGTCCCAGGTGCTGGGTTGGGGGGCACGGTGGGACCCGGCGCTCAGAGCTCCCACCTCCAGGTACGCACCCGAGTCGCTGGCTGACAACGTCTTCTCCCGAGCGTCCGACGTGTGGAGCTTCGGGGTGCTGCTCTATGAGCTCTTCACCTACAGCAACAAGAGCAGGAGCCCCTCGGAGGTGAGGCCCCCCCCCCCCCGGGCCCCCCCCCCCGTGCCCCCTACTGCCGCACCTTGTGCTCACCGCAATCCCGCAGGAGTTCCTCCGCATGATGGGCCCTGAGAAACCAGCACAGATCATCTGCCATTTGCTGGAGCTGCTGAAGGACTCCAGGAGGCTCCCGGTGCCCCCAGGCTGCCCCACGGAGGTGAGATCCTCCCCTCCAGCACAGCGGGGTCCCAGCCCTCCCCATGCCCCCCAACGGTCCCGTTCTATCCACAGGTGTATGCGGCGATGCTGAGCTGCTGGGCATTCGCCCCCACTGCCAGACCCACCTTCAGCGAGCTGGCAGTCAGAGTCGAGGCACTGAGGGATGGCCGTGGCACCACCCGTGGGTAGGGGGTGCCTGGACCCCCCCCCCCTGCAGCCCCCAGACCCTCCAGCATGAGACATGACAGACAGATCAATGAACACAGCAACGCTTCAATGTGTTTTAACTGCTATGGTTGTGCTGCTGTGACTTCCCTTCTCATTGCCCCCTCTTTTGTAATCAGGTTTGACCGATTTCAAGTAAACGGTGGTGGAATTTGGAAACTGGAGTGAAGTGAGGGGAATCCATGGTGGGGGGGGTTGGGGGGAGGTTGGGCATGAGGAGGTCAGATGTGTACCAATATCCTCGCAGAGGAAATGCAGCAGTGAGCTCAGCCCCCCTATGAGCCACTGGGGACATCCCTGTAGGAGGGCAGCCTGGAGGCAGCAGGGGCCAGGGGATGGGGGGGGAGTCTGGGGGGCGCCCATCTCTTGCTTGTGTGGTTGAGGACGGAGAGGGGACCTCAGGTCTGTGCCCACCCGCAATGGATGAGCAGACATGGGGGACAAGGGGTGGGCGGTGGGGGGACCCTGAGCTCCCACTCCCCCCTGCGCTGTGGGATGGCAGCAGGCACGGAGCCCTCATCTCCGGACTGCTTTCCTTTATTGCACCGAGAGGAGAACCTGGTCACAAGTCACAGCTTTGGGGCAGAGCCAGGCAGGATGTCTGAGGTGAAGCCACAGGTTGGAGCTGAGGCTCAGCACCTCCCCACGCTCAGCCTCACAGCAGCATCCCACAAGCCCTGGAGCAGCAGCAGTGACGCTGACCCTCCTGGTCCATCCTAGAAGATGAGCACCTTCCTCCCACAGCGCAGCTGGGGCTCCTGGAGAGCCTGCCACATCACGGCCATCTCGTAGGGCGCAAAGCGGTGCACCACCAGCAGCTCCCGGTAATAACAGGGGTCCAGCGGGTCAGAATAGCGGGGCACGGAGATCCCCCAGGGCCGGATGCCATCGTGGGAGATGGGGGCCAGCCCAGCTCTCTCCAAGCACATCCCCACGTAGACGTCATCGATGGGGAAGAGCGCGACGTGCTGCGCCGCGCGGTGGATGGCGCGCGCTGTGAAGGCAGACATGAGCACCCCTCCTCCGCTGCAGTACGGTGGGTACAGCTCCGACGGCATCAGCTGCGTCGGCACAAAGTACTTGCTGCCTGGATTCCGGATGGGCCCCGTGCCGGCCAACACCTGCCCAGCCAGCAAGTGCTGCTCGCTCGGGACATCCCGCGTAAAGGACACCAGGTTGTCCGTGTTGACAAAGACATCGTCGTCCCCGTTGAAGACGAAGCGCGCGCCGGGGCAGCGCTCCTGCAGCCAGGTGTGAAACAGCAGCAGCTTCAGCGTCAGGTTGAAGAAGGTGTCCCTGAAGTCCCACTGCAGCACGTCGTGGTGCTCGTGCTGCTCGTGCCACAGCAGCCGGTTCAGTTTGGCCGCGTTCCGCGCGTCGGGGGAAACCCCCACCAGGAACAGCCGCCGGATCTGAGCCCCTTCCAAGGTTCTCTGCTGACCCCACGTCTTCCGGATCGCCTCGCGCCGTTCGTAGTTGGCCGGGGAGGATTTGATGGCCAGGAGGAGGAAGGTGTTGGAGGAGGCTGCGGGACCCCCGCATTTGCCGGGGACGTCGAGGAGCTGCGGGAAGGCACGGCAGTGCTGGTAGAGCATGAAGTCCCGGGATTGTTCAGGCAGTTCGGCAAAGCCAGGGATGTCATGCACTGAAGCATTGGCCACGCATGGGGTGATGCTGGGCAGAGCTGGGAGGGCGTCGGGGGCTGCAATGGAGGTGGGTTCGGGGCTGGGGGCTGCGCGAGGCCACAAAGACGAGGTGGGGGACAGCAGGTAGCATAGCCCCAGGGTCCCCACCGTGAGCAAAGCCCATTTCTGCGGTGCACGATGCCACAGGGAGCGGGTCTGCAAGACAGGGAGCACAGCTGAGGCTGCGTGTCCCACATTTATGGGATCACCCTGTGCCCTACGGTGGGTTGGGATTCCGGGTGCCGATGGTGATGGTGGAGGCTGAAGGCATCACCACCTCCCAGCACATGTGGGACCTCCTGGGCAGGGTTTCCAGGCGTCCCACAGCCACCCCGGGAGCATCACACCCAATTGCCTCTGGATGCAGAGCTGCCCGTGCTCCATCCCCCTCTCTGCTATGCTCAGCTCCCTCCCTTCCTTTGTAACAACCTTTTGATCCCAAGTTCACTTCCGTCTCCCTTCCAGGAAACCAGGGAGAGGTCAGGCAGTCAATCCTGCCCAGCAGCTGCTGTGTTACGCAGAGCAAATAGCCAGGGCACAGCAGGGCCACGCCAGCGAGAGGGATGGGGCACCCACCGGAGCACCCTCAGCTGGAGGAGTGGGTGGTTCTGGATGCACGAAGCCCACCAACAGGTGAGGTGAGCAGCCCCCACCCCATAAAGATGGAGCCCATGGGCAGGGGACCCCACTCAGCATGAGGACCCCATGCAGCATGCGGGATCCTATGGGGTGGTGGATCCCATGGGGAACCACCACCTCCCCCACCACCCCCCAAGCCCAGCAAAGCAGGATGCACCCAGCCCCATCCCAGAGCCCACCCTGCAGCACGTGAAGCCCTGAGCCCCCCAACCCCACAGAGCCCCCAGCACCTTCCCACAGAGCCATACCAGAGCCATTCTCGTGTGTCAACGGGACAGGATCGGCAATCCCCTCCCCACACCTGGTGCCACCCATCTGCCCATCCCGAAGCCCGAAAGGTGGGGCAGCAGCAACTATGGGTGCTAGAAGTGTCACAGTTCAGTGTTGGCTCCTCCCCCCCCGTGGCCTCAAAGTCCTCCCAGGAGCACAGTGCAGCAGCTGAACCCGTTACCAGGGAGCAGCCCAGAGGTGGCAGAGCTGGGCGGCACAGCGTGGGGCAGAGGCGGTGATTAGAAAATAAAGTGTTTAATAAAAGAGCTTCACAGCACGGGGGTGGGGTGGGGGGGGGGGGTCCATCCCTTACAGCAGGAGATGACGCAGTTATGGCTATGGGGAGGAAGGGGAGTGGGGGGGAGGAAGAGGAGTGAGGAGGAGGAGGAAGGCACCCCCTCCAACCAGGCTCCATCCAGTGCTTTGAGCTCACACAACCAAGGGGAGGTCCGGGGGTCCGAGTAGAGGCAGCTCAGGACCCCGCCAGGTAGATCCCTGTGGAGGAAAGAGGGGGGGAGGGATGAAAGGTGGGGGCTGCGAAGATGGGGACACGCACACGGGGCATTGGCACCATGGGAGAACGGAGAGCGGGGTGGCGGGGAGGGGACCTCGGGCACCTGGGGAAGGGACCTCCTGCACCATAGGGGGCGGGGAGGGGACTCCATGCACCACGAGGAGTGAGAAAAGGTCCCCACGCCCCCAGATCTGTGGGGTGCGGAGGAGGTGCTGCCGTGCACCCTGGGCAGCACAGAAGGGACCCCGAGCATCTCAGACACAGGGGACGCAGAAGGGACCACGTGCAACCACAGGCTGTGGGGACAGGGGAGGGATCCCACGTACCCGTGGCGAACCTCTTCTTGACCAGCGACATGCGGTACCCAGCGCCTGCCAGCTCCACCTCGACGCCCGACAGCGTGCTGCCCTCACTGCTGAACTGTGCTGCCACCGGGCTGGGCTTGCTGGGCCCACAAAGCGGCTGCCAGCTGGCTGAGAGCCGCCCGCAGCCTGGGGAGGTGGGGGGGAGCACAGAGGTGGGGGTCCCATCCCTGTCCCCACACGCACAGAGTGAGGGCTGCAGGGGTGGATGGAGCCTCACCTCCCTGCCCTGGCGCGCTGGGGACATCCAGCAGCTTCCAGAGCAACCTCTTCTCCTCCAGGTTCCTGCGGGGACGTGGCCACATCTCCAGGTCTCCCGCTCCATTCCCACCACCCCCACGTTCCTCAGCCCATTTTAGACCCCCACCCTCTTTACCAGCTGGCCTTGGGCTGCAGCCGCACGTTGGTGACAGGTTCATCCAGGGGCAGCAGCACGTGGACGTTGGCGAGGGGCACAGGCAGGGCGAGCGCCCCCGCGTTGTAGCCGTACTCCACACTGACCCGCGTGGCTCCGGGCGCGCAGTCCCAGCGCACACACAGCCGCAGTGGGGCTGAGCTGGGACCCAGCCGGGAAAACTGGGGTGTAGAGAAGGGTGGGATGTTGTCACCCCGCCATCAGAGCTGGGTGGGGGGATGTGGGGCGCCCCCAGGCTGCGCCCGGCTCACCTGGTACTTGAGCAGAGCCACGTTGTAGTAGGAGGCGGATGGGCTCTGCTCTGCTTGTTTCTGCAGCTGCCCCGTCAGCGCAGCCATGTTCAGCCAGAAGTCCCTGGTGCTGGGGTCGCTCTGGGAAGGGTCACTGTGGGGACGGGGACACTGCGGCCACACTGGGGCGCCCCACAGCTGGCACCCGCAGCACGCAGTGAACCGGCACCCCAAGGCGCAGCGCTGCACCCGCCAGGTGATGAGGGTGCCTGGGGCCTCCTGAGAAACCAGACACCCCAACACCCTGTGCGCCCCAAGCTCCCCACCGCCACCACCCCAGCCCACGTCCCCGTGTCCCCACACCTGTAGAGCAGCTCGGCGTTGGGCAGGAATTGCTCGATGGCACCGGCGTTGAGCAGACGGAAGCTGAGCACGGGGGGGGCCAAGCTGCCGCTGAAGACGCGCACGATGCCGGCGGGGAAGGACATGGTGAGCTCCCCCGTCACCTTCACCAAGCAGCTGCGGGGATGCTGGGGGTCAGCGGGCAGACAGCTGGGGGGACCCCGACCCCGACCCTGACCCCCCCCTACCTGTCGGCATCTCGCCCCTTGAAGTAGGCATGCACGTATTCGGTGAAGGCGGTGGCCACGGGCAGCGCGTCCTGCGAGCCCAGCACCACGGGGCTGGGACCCCGCGACAGCCCTGGGGGCAACGCACACCCCGTGAGCACCCAGAGGGCCCCACGTCCCCCACATCCAGGATTCTTCCATCCCCCTCCCAACCCGGACGCACCGAGGGGCGGTGGGCACACGGAGAAAAAGCCGCGCTCCCCCAGGCTGGCGGGGGCTGAATGCGAGGGGCAGCTCCAGGAGGGCGGGGGGCTGAGCGAGCGCGACTGCGGGCACAGAAAGGGGGGGGTCAGTGGAAGGAAGGGGGTCGGGCTGCTGCCCCCCCCAGCCCTCCCACCCCCTTAAAACACACCAGGTCACTGTTGCTGCCTGCAGCTGGGCCGGCTGTCGGGCGCTTCGTCCGGGAGCGGCGAGGGGGGGCCACCAGTGGGACCTCGCGGGGGGCGGCGGCGGGGGGGCGGGCGGCTGTGGGCACAGAGGGGGTCAGGGGGTGACGAGGCGAAGGGGGCAATGAGAGGTAGGGGTCTCCATGGGGGGGTCCCACGGGGGCCGGGAGAGCAGCAGGCTCAGCCC